CAGGGAGATGCCTGTAAAATGTGCGAGGCAACTGGGCTGAACTCTAGCATTGAGTGTGCAGGGCTCCCTCGACCTCTCCCTGCTTACCCTCGCGGCTTCTGCCAGGCGGGCGCCTGATCTGATCACCGCCGTGGAGGCCCCTGAAATGTGGAGGCCCCAGGCGCGCGCCTCCTGCGCCTGTGCGGAAATCCGCCGCTGAGCACTAGGAATAACAAATTGATGACTAGAACCAAAGGCAGCAGGCTATCCCAAAGACATTAAAGCCTGTGGCGAGAAGTTCAAAAAATGGACTAAAGAGTAGCAGAAGATGAAAAAGCAAAAGGAACATCAGAAGCCAAAGGAAGAATTGAGCTACAACATTGTCCTAAAGCTTATTTTGGGGTACAGAAATTGAATCAACACACTAAAGTATTTTACCAGAGTAAAGTAAGGGTGATAGCTGGGATACCTCAGGAGTGAGTAAACTGTCTCCCGAGTAATTTGTATGATAGTTCTGGTAAAGAAATCAAACATAATTTATAGCCCATTCCTACTCTGGAGAAAAAACTGACAAAGTGAGCTTGCTACATCTAGCAGCTGGCTGATTTTTAGAAAGAGTCTGATAAAGGAATCTACAGTAGTGGCCAAAATTGTGGAAACCTTTTGGGAAAAGTGTATTTTTGAGGTTTGATGGCTAATAACACCACTTCTTTTTGGAGTAGGACCATAAAATTATATATCAATGGAAAGATAATTTAATCAAGAATGTAATGCAACAAAGTTTGTTCAATTATCTGTACTGTATTCTATGAAAACATATAACCAAATAACCAGAAAAAGGAAGCACAACTTGCTTAGGTTGATATCAGGTAGCTTTCCTTCATCTGATTGTAGCCAATAAGCACGAGTGTGTTATGTGATTGCTATCAAGTTGGTTGGGGTTTTTGTGTTCTTTCATTTAGTGAGCTTGTAAAACATAATATAATTAAAGTAATGGTGCAAAGAGTTGACTGGTCACCCAGTTATAAAGAAATTAGAAGAAAAATTGGTGGAAACTTAACCAAAGGTGGCATTTCTACTGTACACTTTTTCCAAAAGGTTTCCACAATTTTGGCCACTACTGTAATTCAAACTTTTTCAGGAGTAAATATATATTGGAGCTTCAGGGTCAGTATTCAACTTATTGCTGTTAATATGTGGTCACTAAGAATCAGCAATGATTTGATGGCACACAATCTATCAATCGGTTTGTTGATTTGGTTTTCTGTTATTATTCATGGTTTATTATATTATTTGAAGTATTATAGGGGGCCTCCTTTACTAAGGCAATAGTTAGAGAAGTAGCAAACAAAATAATAAGGGTTAAGTAGCTTCATATTTATTTTATTTATCCAATAGATATTTGACCTATGCGCTGTATTTTTTTTTCCTAAACAGAAATGTTTCTAGCTTTTTTAATAAATTTCTGTATGGACTGCTAGTGTGAGTAATTAGTGCCAGGTTGTTCTAAAACAAACACTTTTTGCACCAAAAGGAATTATTCTTCCAGTTGTTTCTTATGGATACTCACCATAACATCATTATAGATCTGGGTCTGGAAAGAGTTAAGTTATAATATATACAGATGTTACCATGTATGTATGAATGGCAATTTTGAATTATCTTGTCCTGGAAACTTGTGTCAGATTAGGTTTTTCTTTCAATATGTATTTTATGGGGTTTTTTTTAAATTTGGTGTTAAGATTATTGCCTTCAAACATGCTAATATACAACCCAAATGTATTGTCCCACCATTGTATAGTGAGGCTTAAGGCTTTGTGCCATGCTTCCATGTCAACAGATACCAGAATACCTTCTGGATATGGGTTAACTGAGAAAAATACATGATTTTATGGTTGGTCATTAATGATATATGATTTGATGCAACCTTCCTCATTTGGTGTCCTCTTCGTGTTAGGAATACGCATTCTACTTACAATAGCAATGGTATCTCTGAACTGCAGACTACTAGCATATTAATGCATTGTAAAACAAAGTGCGCTAAAGAATGAAATAATTGCTGTCTATCTGCCACTTTTCATATTCACCCACTTTTGGAACCTTATTCTACTACCACCGAAAAATATATGGATCTTGTTTAAAAGGCAGTTACCCTTGCTTAAAAGCCATGTGCACCTAGCCTAAAAGATAACAGGGGATCCATGATACCACAGTGCTTAAAAATGCAGTTTGTACAACAATGAAATGAGTTAATACACTATGCTAACTGGCAATAAGCACAAGCAGTAAATTGAAAGGGCCTCAGAATATCTTTCCCCAGTAGCAAATTATGCACGAATCAATTCTCATAATGGCTGCGCACACTGGAGTTGCCAGATGATAAATCAGAGTGGGAATTTCTAGCCCTACCCAGATCTCAAACTGCCTGAACTTAGGCAACTGTCAGAAAATATTAATAGCCTCAACTCCTTTTATTAAGTTGTTAGTGCAACAGACCCACCTCGGCAGATGGTCCCATTCCCCACATATCCAGGTTTGCAGGTGCAGCGATGTCCTCTGATTGTATTGGTACAGATTGCATTCTCATCACAGTTGTGCTGTCCACTGTCACATTCATCACGCTCTACAAAAACAAAAGCAATGCAAGAAAATGTGAGGGAGAGGAAAGGTAGAATAAATTTTCAGCTTGCTGATCTGNGTTCTATCTATTTCAAATTGGTGTGTAATCTTAGATAGTCATCAAAAACACAAAGTGTCACTGATATTCAATTTCTGATTGCACTATATACAAGTGTCTGTGGAGATTCTCAATCAAATCCCACTTCTTTAAAAGGTAACTGGACTTTCTTGCTTTTTTTTTCTTTGAAAATGTTTCACTTCTCATCCAAGAAGTTTTTTCATTTAGAAGCTTCCTAGATGAGAAGAAAAATATATTCAAAGAATCTGATTATGAGCCTCCAGCTATTAATTTACCTACTTGATATCCATCCATGAATATCTGAAGGCTGCAGATACAAGCCTATAATTGTATTACTAGATACCATACAATGGGGAATGATTATGCTGATCAGGATTATGATGTACAAACTAATTTCAGAGGAAGAATTGGATGGATCTCTATTTTGGATGTGTAATAAAAAAAGGAGATGACATCTATTATCATATCCAAATAAGAAATAGTTTTAATGAGAAACACTTAAAAATTTAAAAATATAAATAGATTTGAATCTATAACAGAGGCTATACATTCCCTAAGTGCAAAAAAGAATTACTGTATGTTTCATTGACAAGACATAAGCTAAAGAGAAAACAAGTTCACAAAAAACAGAAAGTCACAGAAGTTTTATATCACCCATGGTTATTAATTCTGCGTTATCCAATTGTAGAATAGAAAAAACAAACAAGAGCAGGCAAAATCATTATGCTGGAAATATAATTATGATAACAAATAACTTGGTGAAATAATTGTAGCAAACTCAATCAATTTAGCTTCTGTACAGTTAGAAGAAAAAAGTAATTTGGGCAAGAATAACTTCTCAAAATGGAATTGCAATTAGGTAATTCTTGAGCACAAACTTTATATATATATAAAAAAAATAAACAGTTCATAAAGACTTTTAAAATTGCTAGAATATTTATGAGCACTTAATTTATGCCTGAATTAGTTGTAAAATCTCCCTCTCTGATGGCTACATTATTACCAAATACTTGGATTTTCATTTGCTATCTACTGAAACAAGAATAGGAAACTACATAGACTGGTCCCCTTCAGCTACTATTTCATCATGCATGTAATTAACATTCTATATGACATACATAATCAAGTTATCTACATTAGTTTCTTCAAAAAAAGGATTATAGGAAATTTTAAGATACATTTCTTTGACACATCTAAAAATTATTCCTCTACCAACCCAACACTTGAGAAGATATGAAAAGTTGAGAAAAAAACAATAAAGAAAAACTTAAAAAATAAGTCAAGAAATATAGGCTATTCCAGCTATATGATTAAAAACAGCAGGCTGAACATTTGATGCAGTAAAATCAGAAAATAATATTAAAACCCTGAAAGAACCAGTCTTAACTTTCTCTGTAAAACATAATTATGAGTAGAAGGGTAGCCTGATTTCTGTAGGAAGGGTTCCATGATCATGTGCTGAGTAATCACTAGTCTAATATTTGTAACTGGTACATGAAAGTATCATATCACTAATAATAATAAAAAATCCAATAATTTTGTTTGTTTCCTTATTTTATAGATTAAGCACTAGAACCAGTGCTTTTTTTCTAAAAAAAAAAAAAGGTGTCGGAACTCACACACATCATACAACCCGCCTTGCCTACCCTACAAGGTTCCATCCAAAAAAGGTGCCGGAACTCCGTTCTGGGCGTTCTATGAGAAAAAAAGCCCTGACTAGAACAGTATTACATATGAGTGGTCCATGGTTTTTAGTGTCCCATTATTCATTTTCAGAATTTCCTGTTGCTCATTAACTTAACCTATATATTTTGCCTTTGTGAAACAGAGGGCATCCAGCACTAGGAATAACAAATTGATGACTAGAACCAAAGGCAGCAGGCTATCCCAAAGACATTAAAGCCTGTGGCGAGAAGTTCAAAAAATGGACTAAAGAGTAGCAGAAGATGAAAAAGCAAAAGGAACATCAGAAGCCAAAGGAAGAATTGAGCTACAACATTGTCCTAAAGCTTATTTTGGGGTACAGAAATTGAATCAACACACTAAAGTATTTTACCAGAGTAAAGTAAGGGTGATAGCTGGGATACCTCAGGAGTGAGTAAACTGTCTCCCGAGTAATTTGTATGATAGTTCTGGTAAAGAAATCAAACAGAATTTATAGCCCATTCCTACTCTGGAGAAAAAAAACTGACAAAGTGAGCTTGCTACATCTAGCAGCTGGCTGATTTTTAGAAAGAGTCTGATAAAGGAATCTACAGTAGTGGCCAAAATTGTGGAAACCTTTTGGGAAAAGTGTATTTGTGAGGTTTGATGGCTAATAACACCACTTTTTTGGGGAGTAGGACCATAAAATTATATATCAATGGAAAGATAATTTAATCAAGAATGTAATGCTACAAAGTTTGTTCAATTATCTGTACTGTATTCAATGAAAACATATAACCAAATAACCAGAAAAAGGAAGCACAACTTGCTTAGGTTGATATCAGGTAGCTTTTCTTCATCTGATTGTAACCAATAAGCACGAGTGTTTAGAGAACCAATCTTGTCATCTTGTTTTGGCAATGAGCCAATCAGATTACAGTAGGATTCAGTTACTGATGTCATGTATTGAAGCTGAGAGGAGGACATTTGTCAGTGTGTTATGTGATCGCTATCAAGTTGGTTGGGGTTTTTGTGTTCTTTCATTTGTAAAACATAATAAAATTAAAGTAATGGTGCAAAGAGTTGACTGGTCACCCAGTTATAAAGAAATTAGAAAAAAAATTGGTGGAAACTTAACCAAAGGTGGCATTTCTACTGTACACTTTTTCCAAAAGGTTTCCACAATTTTGGCCACAACTGTAATTCAAACTTTTTCAGGAGTAAATATATATTGGAGCTTCAGGGTCAGTATTCAACTTATTGCTGTTAATATGTGGTCACTAAGAATCAGCAATGATTTGATGGCACATAATCAATCAATCAATCGGTTTGTTGATTTGGTTTTCTGTTATTATTCATGGTTTATTATATTATTTGAAGTATTATAGGGGGCCTCCTTTACTAAGGCAATAGTAAAGAGAAGTAGCAAACAAAATAATAAGGGTTAAGTAGCTTCAAATTTGTTTTATTTATCCAATAGATATTTGACCTATGTGCTGTATTTTTTTTTTGCTAAACAGAAATGTTTCTAGGTTTCTTAATAAATTTCTGTATGGACTGCTAGTGTGAGTAATTAGTGCCAGGTTGTTCTAAAACAAACACTTTTTGTACCAAAAGGAATTATTCTTCCAGCTGTTTCTTATGGATACTCACCATAGCATCATTATAGATCTGGGTCTGGAAAGAGTTAAGTTATAATATATACAGATGTTACCATGTATGTATGAATGCCAATTTTGAATTATCTTGTCCTGGAAACTTGTGTCAGATTAGGTTTTTCTTTCAGCATGTACTGATTATTATGGTTTTTTTTAAAATTTGGTGTTAAGATTATTGCCTTCAAACATGCTAATATACAACCCAAATGTATTGTCCCACCATTGTATAGTGTGGCTTAAAGCTTTGTGCCATGCTTCCATGTCAACAGATACCAGAATACCTTCTGTATATGGGTTAACTGAGAAAAATACATGATTTTATGGTTGGTCATTAATGATATATGATTTGATGCAACCTTCCTCATTTGGTGTCCTCTTCGTGTTAGGAATACGCATTCTACTTACAATAGCAATGGTATCTCTGAACTGCAGACTACTAGCATATTAATGCATTGTAAAACAAAGTGCGCTAAAGAATGAAATAATTGCTGTCTATCTGCCACTTTTCATATTCACCCACTTTTGGAACCTTATTCTACTACCACCGAAAAATATATGGATCTTGTTTAAAAGGCACTTACCCTTGCTTAAAAGCCATGTGCACCTAGCCTAAAAGATAACAGGGGATCCATGATACCACAATGCTTAAAAATGCAGTTTGTACAACAATGAAATGAGTTAATACACTATGCTAACTGGCAATAAGCACAAGCAGTAAATTGAAAGGGCCTCAGAATATCTTTCCCCAGTAGCAAATTATGCACGAATCAATTCTCATAATGGCTGCGCACACTGGAGTTGCCAGATGATAAATCAGAGTGGGAATTTCTAGCCCTACCCAGATCTCAAACTGCCTGAACTTACACAACTGTCAGAAAATATTAATAGCCTCAACTCCTTTTATTAAGTTGTTAGTGCAACAGACCTACCTCGGCAGATGGTCCCATTCCCCACATATCCAGGTTTGCAGGTGCAGCGATGTCCTCTGATTGTATTGGTACAGATTGCATTCTCATCACAGTTGTGCTGTCCACTGTCACATTCATCACGCTCTACAAAAACAAAAGCAATGCAAGAAAATGTGAGGGAGAGGAAAGGTAGAATAAATTTTCAGCTTGCTGATCTGACATTTCAAAAGTCATTTATAACTAGTGACTGTATTGCTACGACAGACGAACAGCACAAAAGAGGCATTGGAGAAATGTGATATCAAGTCCATTTCAGGTTATGATTTATATCTGGTCATCGCATTTTATTTGAGATATGGGGAAAGACACTACCTGATAAAAAGTATTAGCAAAGAAGAACTGAGTAAAACAAAATGTTGAATACTGATTTATTTCCAAAGCATCATTCATCATGTTTGTTCTGATGCTACATGCTACTCATTAGATCAATTTAGAATAGCTATCTAGGACACATCTTTGTATACTGCATTTGGTTCCTGGTTAGAGTTAACAATATTATCTCTTTTACGTATCTTTGGAACATCGAACTTGGTAGAGTGGCCTCAATTTTAAGAAGCATTACTATTTTATTTGATTCAATAAATTAGAAATAAATATGCTTCCTGAAATTCAGATAGGACCAACTATGCCAAAGGGGTTTAAAGATGAGTTAGGAAAGAGAAACATCTTCTCACTCCATCTCAAGATAAACATTTCTAAACTGGGTGTCTTAACATACTGTATATCTACCTTTTCTAATGATGTCAACCATATTTTTTTAATAGGGGATACCAGCTTGCATGTTACTTTAAAGACACACTGTATCTAGCAGTTTTATTTATTTTGCACCCTAATAAAAAATCAACTGTAGGGCATTTAACCTGGTATCGTAGAAGGGAAGTTTTCTCTACTGCTTTCTCTACTGTGATTCCAAATCCCAGTGAATCTCCTTTGCCAACAAGTTGTATTGTCAAAATTGAATTCATTCATTTCATGACCAGGTTTTGGATGTATATTTATTGCTGCTGAAAGTCCAGCTGGCAGCAAGGAAAACAAATGAAAAAAGCCAACACTTCTTGCATCCTACTTTCTTTTCACTAAAGAGACACAAAAAAAGGTATAACTATTTTCTATGTCTTCAAAGGTCGGTAATCTTAGTTGAAACCTAAACCCCAAATCATTATGGCTTCATTTCTAATAAAATGATAATTACCAATTTTATTTTACAACTGGACTAAATATCCACTTTTTTTTATTTATACAGTATTGTATATACCACCCAATTCCATGGACTCCAAGGTGGTTTTCAGGAAATGTCTCATTCCAAATGTACAGAACTTAATTGAAAAATGAGATAATAATTTGCTAAATAATAACAATTTATGGCAGTCCTAATAGTACTCAGTGGTCTACAGAACAGCCAGATTTTAAGCATTTCTTAAAGGCCAGGAGGTTAGGAATATTCTGGAGCTTGAAACACAAACTGTTCCAAAGCATGAGGGCAGCAACTATAAGGATGCATTGCAGGCCCCTTCACACTTTGAGGGGTTGGAACCTCTATCCTAGAATGCACAGGGTGAGTCAAATCTTAATGGGAGAGATGGTCTGGCAAGTACCAAGAGGCAAGCCATATAGGGCTTTAAACACAATATCCATGGTTTTTAATTGGATCCAGAAGCAACTTAATAACCAGTACAGCAATCATAGCTTAGGTTTTACATAGCTCATCTTCTATCATTTGGTTAGCAGATTGTCCACTGTGCTGTGAACCAACTGAAGCTTCCAAGTTATCTTCAAAGATATATTATGTGTTGTGTGTCATGGCAGTCTAGACATTAAGTGATCAGGGCATTCGGGGAGCCATTGTCAGGACCACACTTCTCATTACTTAGCAGCACTTTAAAAAGCAAATATGGTCAGCAAGCAAAACTTGCTACAAATCTCATACTGATCAAGACTTAATACTCTAGTATTCCTGTAGCTGAGCCTATTGCCTTTCAAAATGCATCTGCAGAACAATTATTATCTCAAAGCTAGCGGCAGTTATGGTTGACTTTCTGTTCAGGGCAGTTACTGTTTCCTCTAGTGCCTCACATTGCTTTGACTTTCATTCAGATTATGAATATCCATTTATTATGTGAATGCTGTCAGCTTGGTAAGGATTCAGCAGATAGTAGCAGAGGTTTTAGAATATACATTATACTAGGGCGAGAATAAATGGCCTCAACTTTCTTACTCAGGAAAGAAGATTAAGTGGAGCTATTAGAACAGGTTTAAAACTCTATATATCAAATGCCTATCATGAAGAAGATATATTTTTTCTCCCTTGTCATTACAAGAGCAACATGATACACCCAAACTGAGGAGTAATAGCAAGACAGAGGCAGGCTGGATATATGAAAGCCAGCCTCAAAATTGTACCCCATGGACTAAAAACCAAGCGGCTCTGGGAACTGATGGGATCTTTATTAAGGGGAGATGGAAGCGTCTCGTCCAATTGTGTATTATGACTCAGTTGCCATAGGAAATTTGAAAGGGTACATTATGAGATGGCAACCAAAATTATTTTCAGACCTGTAGTGCCAAAAGCGTTAGATAAAAAGTATGCAATTCACCATTCCTCCTGAGGGCACTCGTGGGCACTTAAGCAGCAAATTTCATTTACTTTGCAATCAGTTCTTTTATATGTCTATCAATGCCCAGTTTAATACAGCAGTTATATATCTGGGGCATTCTACAATCACAGTCTATCTGGATTACTTTTCATCAGAGGAAGAAAAGGCAAGTGTCCAGCAATCTCTAGCTAACTTAAAACAAACAGCATGAAAGCCAACAATCTAGTTCTGGCTTTCACCATCCAGTGCAGCAAATCATGGGTGATATCATTGATATATTACATGATTTTCTCCCTCATTTACTAAAAAATGCCCCCAATTTGGCTTACTGTTTGCTCACTATTATGGCCAAGCCAGGAAATCAAAAGTGCCGAATGCAGAGAATAGTTCCTCTTTTTGATTAAGCTGAGGCCCTTATGTAGATAGGACTAGTTGAGTAAAGGATTCCACTGGAAGAAAAGTGAGGTGCCTTCAATGGTACAACAATTCTAACAGCAACAGGGAAGAAAAATATTTCAAAGAATCCAAGGATGGCCCTTCCAAATTAAGACTGTATAAATGTTTCTGTCCTTTGTATCACAAATTGCTGGGCTTTGGTAAAAGTATATATGAATAAGCTACTACTGTCAGAAACATAAACTTTTCTTGTGTTATTCATTTTGTTAATCAGAACAGCTGGTGATATGTTTTTAAATTCCTCATCAGTTCTTCCTTCTCACTAGTTAATTAAAAAGGAATCAACTTTTTTGCTCAAGGCAGGAGGAAAGCCAATAACCAAATTCTAGTCATCTGGCTCAGTCTGTTCCCATTTCCCATCTCTCTTATGCTCTCTTTTGTTAGACCTGTCCACCTTATATCTCCTCTCACCCATTTTTCCAAGATAGGATTAGCAATACACTTGCTTCAGGCAGAAATCTCTTAGGACATGAGATAGGAAACTCAATTTCTTTCTTTCTTTCTCCTTGCTCCCTCTCTCTCTTTTGGGCTATGCTCTCTTCTTTCCTTCTTTTCGTCTCCATCTGTAATTGAAGTCAGAGCCTGAAAGTGGACAAGTGGTCCTCAAGCAAGGATCTTCCACTGAAATGCAGCCCTAGGATTTACTAAAACTTGTAAGAGCTGAACCAATCCCCTCCAGGATGTAACTTTATTAGACTTTGGAAGCACAGTCTTTTCATATCCCTTTAGTAGCTTGGATGTCTCCAAAAGACCATCATTTTAGTAAATCAATGGGCAAACTCATCCAATGAGGAGTGGCAAAGTTGTTATTCAGGGGCCCTTTCCTTACTTTTCTTCCCATCCAAATGTTGGAAGGATCCGTATAACACTGACCTTTGACAGCCAGAATTCTAACCACAAGCTGAAAAAAATATGCTTCCCCTCTTCTCTTCAATTATCTCTATTTTATATTCTATTCCAGTGGTGGGATTCAGCCAGTTTGCACCAGTTTGGCAGAACCACTAGCTATTTTTTTGTTGCCCAGGCCCAGAATGGCCTTCCGGAAGCGGCATCCACAGAGGGAACCGGTTGTTCACATATTTGAATCCCACCACTGTTCTATTCCCAATCAGATAAAATGTTACCTGTGTAAAAGGGCTATCCCTTAGCATGTGTATGCATGAGCAACGTGATTGTATATATACTATAGAAAGATAACTGAGGAATCACAGTCTGCGTATATTTTCGCATGAGTAAACCATTGTAAGGTAATCTATTTCAATGTTTTAAGATAATCTAAATAATTTTAAGGTAGTCAATTTTTATTTGCCTATTGCTATATTTCTTATCTTTATGTAAAAATGGTTATAAATTTAGGGAAGAATTTGATGTGATGTGCACAACAGGACAGTAATGCCACCAACTGTGTAGTAGATTTTTTTATGCTGTAAACTGAGCCACAGTTAGCCTATATATCCATGTTTTTATATAGTTTCCTTCTACAGTGTCTGAGTAACATCTTTGAACTCTTAATTTACAATGAATACTTTTCCCAGAAAACTTGTTCTTTTATAGTATTTTGCATCATAGAATTCAATTAGTAATTTGTCCTTGATTTCAAAACTTTCCATCTCCTTATAGCCACTTGTTTTTCTGGAATGATTTTTACTTCAGCTTGATCAGTATGACTTCTGAGACACTCCTTAAAAACATATTTTGATAACATGTCAAGAAAAGAATCCTCCTCTACCACAATAACAATAATGTCTATATAGAACAGAGCTCCCCAACCTTTTCGGGTTGGCGGCCCAGAGGGAAAGGAGGAACAGGGAAATGCATGTGCACATGAGCGCATGCACATTCATGTGCAAAACAGGTGTGTGCACGACAGCAGGGCTAGCATCCGTGCACATGTGCAAGCATCCGCGCACACCCACATTCATGCTGATGGCAGTGCTGGCACCCGTGTGTGTGCATAAATGGGCTGCTAGCATCCATACGCATGCACAAACATGGCACCGGCACCCGAGTGCATGTGCAAATGGGATGCTAGTG